CCCCCCATTTCTCCTGGTCCCCATTTCTCCTGGCCCTCCATTCCCCCTGAACCCCCATTCCTCCTGGATCCTGCTCCTCCTGGCCCCCCACTTTTCTTGGTCCCCCATTCCTCCTGGATCCTGCTTCTCCTGGCCCCCCACTTTTCTTGGTCCCCCATTCCTCCTGGCCCCCTCATTCCCCCTGGCCCCCTTTCCTCCTGGATCCTGCTCCTCCTGGCCCCCTCATTCTCACCTGGACCCCGTTTCCCCGTGGCAGCAGCTGGGAAGGTACATGCAGAAGGCAGGATTTCACTTCTGGGGGGGTGATGTATACATCTTCAAGAGGGGAAGCTCTCCTTTTACAGAAAAATCTGTGCTTGCTCTGTAGAAAAGGGATTTTTAGAGAAATCTGTCCTTCCCGGGGGCTGGGCACCCCTGTCTGGAGCCATGGAGGGGGCCTTAGGCCAGCACATTGCTCTGGGGACCCTTCTCTGTGCAGATAATATTGGTAAGGATCACAAAACTGCCGGTGCAGTACATCTTGCCATCGATGAAACAGGCATCTTAGCGGAACAGTTGCTTTTTAAAAAAGAAGGGAAAACGCACTTTGTGGAACAAAGGTGAAACTGTGAATTATTTTCCCGCATCCCAGCCGCGCGTTCTTTGTCTGGGTGAACTACAGGTACAGTTCTCCATTGTGAAATGCTGAGTATTCAAGAATTAACTTCCACGGAGTTTTTCAAAACGGCTTCACATTCGTGATGAATGTACAGATAGCGCAGGTAATGTGGAATACACACAGAGCAGCGTAACCAGAAAAACCTGACATTTGTGCTGATATCTGTTCTATAAAAACGAAAATGTACAGGGAAGGGAAGGCAGGGTCTAGCTTTCTTCCAATTATTCAAGTTTTTAAAATACCATAAAAGAGGAAAACAGGTGTGAATTGTGTCAGCACCGGCGTGGCCAGCAGGGACAGGGAAGGGATCTGAGCCCTGGGCTCGGCACTGGGGAGGCCGCCCCTCGCTGGGGGGGTTCAGTTCTGGGCCCCTCACTCTAAAAAGGCCATTGAGTGACTCGAGCGTGGCCAGAGAAGGGCAACGGAGCTGTGGCAGGGTCTGGAGCACAGGTTTAGTCTGGCTCTGAGGAAGGATTTCTGTGCAGAAGGGGCTGTTGGGCGTTGGAATGGGCTGCCCAGGGCAGGGGGCAGTCCCCGGGATCCCTGGAGGGGTTGAAGAGTCGGGCTGAGCCAGCGCTGAGGGATCTGGGGGAGTTGGGAACGGTCAGGGGGAGGGTCATGGTTGGACTGGAGGAGCTGCAAGGGCTTTTCCGACCCGGATGGTTCTGGGATTCTGGGAGCAGCGGTGGGGTCAGGCTGGCCTGTGCCTTTCCCGGGAGCGGGGCTTGTGTTTGGGGGCCACCACTTTGCCCTTCTTGTTAACCACGTGCACAGAGGGGCAGACTCTGCGTGTGTGTGCGTGGGTCAGTGGGTGCACAAGGTGGGTGCAAAATCCTTGGGCTTGTTTACTCTTTCACTCCCAGGCCAGGTAGACCTCGATTCCCTGCCCCTCCCCATGAATGCTTTTCTATTTTTGCTTTCACACAGAAGTTGGTAGCGTTGCGTTTCGCTCGGGACCCGCCACTTACGCGGGAAGCCGGGTGCGGTTTAGGCATGCAGGGCTGAAGAAGGTTTGAGGAACGGGAGCTAATCTCATCCTTGGTTTTAAACCCATGCTTAAAGCCAGGAGGATGAGGTAGTTCAGAGCCAGAGCTGCGTGCGCTCGCTGTGGCACATGTTTCGGGTGGGGTTATGAGCTCTTTCTCCCTCGGGAAGTCGTGGGTGCGGAGGAGCCTGGCTCTGCAGACCCTCCTCGGGCTCGTGCTGGCATTACGGGTGACCGCTGTGTCCCCAAAACCTGCAGGATCAGGTCCGTAATTTGCCTGACATGCACCACTCGGGGGCTTTAGGACAGACAGCTTGCACTTTGCAAAGGAAATATTTTGCAGCTGCTTGCTTTCTTGCAAAGGAAAACCGTCTCGCTTCAATATTCTTTGGTTTTGGTATGTTAGAAAAATAATAAGGAAAAGCATCTAACACAATGGATGGGAGTTTATAGAAATCCTCAAGTCCCGCAGCAGAAGTTAATGACAGAACACGATCCTGGGGGAGCAGAGTAATGGTGATTCCTGATGAGGAAGTGGCGAGGTTGCACCCGGGCAGAGCTGAACCAGACCGATGCGGTCTTCACCGGGACCAGAAGGCTCTTGGACTTACATCCCCAGATTCCATTCCAGAAAGAAGAGTTGCTTACTCTCACGTGGAATGGAGGAAGGGAACGAGGAGTGTTTTCAGCTGGTTCAAGCTAGTTAGCTTTGTTAAGATGGGGGGAAAATCGTGGAAGTAGAAAAGGACCTGACGGATTCGTGGCCGGTTTGCTGCTGCAGAGGACTGGGCTTGATCCCCTGCTCATCCCACATGCTCGGGGCAAGGCAGGGCAGATGAGAGGAAAGAATTTCCATTAACCATCTACACAGAGGGAGGAGAGCGTGTGCCTCTGCTAGAGTCACATGGACATTTCTCCTCGCTCTGCAAGAATCCCTAAAAAAACCAAGACCAAAAACCCCCCTGGATTGAAAAAGTGCATGAAAAAGGACCCCAGAGCTGGTGGAGCGGCAGTGTGTGCCTTGGGTATGGATCTGCACGTACGTACGTGCGTATAATACACCTTCCCTGGAGCTGTCTGCTCTTTTGGTTTTCCTGTCTCACAAAAGTGTAGTGGAATTAGGAGGAGCGCGGGGACAAACAGCAGGAATGATTGCAAGCACAGAAGGATTTTCCTGTGAAGGGAGGTTGAACAGATTGTGGTGATTTTGTTTAGAAAGGAGCTGAATAAGAGGAGACATAATAGAGGTGCGTAGAATAATGGACAGCATAGAGAAGGTAAATCTAGCTCTCCCATTCATCCTGCCTCATAATTAAAGAACAAGGGGACATTCAGTGAACCTGACAAAAAGAAATACTTTTTATTCAACACACAATGACCTGTGAAATTCATTGCTCCAAGATGTAATCAAGGCCAAATGTTCAGAAGCATTCCAAATAGGATTAGACATCATATGGAAAATGCAAACATTTAGAGGTTTATTTGACGGGATTCAGACAGGAAAAAAAAAAAAAAAAAAGAAAGAAAAGAAAAACTTTGATGCCAGAGCGTGAGGCAACTGCTAGGGCAAGGAAGGAGCTTCTTCTGGTGGCCAATTATTTGCTAATTACCACGTTCCCTGGCCTGCTGCGCGCCGGGGATGCCCCCGCGCTCGGCGCTGTCGCGATAGCGGGTGAGGTGATTATAAAAATAATGAGCTTGCAGCGGGCTGGAGAGTGTGGCTTTATTCAGCAGGGCCCAGCCTGCCCGGGGTCGGCTCAGCAGCCCCCGGCACGCTCCGTCTCTGGCCAAGGGCAAGGTTTTCTGGCTAACTCGGAGCACTGACGGCTGGCCAGAGCCTTCACGACGCGACATCTGCCATCTCAGGCGGAAATTTAAATATCCCAGCTGGCTCCTGCTTTCCCCCGCAAGAAAAAGTTTGATGTTGAGGTATAACTAGCCTTGACCGAACAGTTCTCCCCTTCAGACTCATCCACACACAGTGCCCCGAGCAAAATATTTGCCCATAGTTTCTCTCGCTTCGGGTTATTGAAGTGTAGCATCAGTTGTTGAAATCGAGCACCCGAGAAAGCAAAATAAGAGGGAGTTTGTCCGTTTGTTGTGGTGGGTTTTGTTGTTGTTTTTTTTTTATTGGGGCAGGTTTGTGACAGGCTCTGCTCCTCGATTAAATGAAACGTTACTATAAGTGACTCTGTCGTGGGTAAAATATCATTAAAAGCCACAACTGAGACTGCGCTGTTTGCAGCTTCAAAAAAAATGGGAAGGGAAAAGGCCTGAAAAGGGTCTTGGCAAAAGGCTTCCGAGAGGTAAAAAGATGCTTTTTCAGCAGCTCAGTTAAATCCATCTCCTCTCCCCTTCCCCAATAAAATTAGCATGAACCAGACATTGTTTTGCTCTCTGTGGCAGTTGCTGAGAATTCACAAAAGGAAATTCTAGATTGTAATTTAGCTTGGCCTCAGGTAATATGTTAAATACACTTGGGATACATATAATCTAAGATTTTAGTTTGTACAAAGCTATTTTTTCCTCCAGTGTTTAAACAATACTGCTTTTAATGAAGAAATCTGGCTTTATTAAAAGCCAGATCTGTGACTTACAACTGTTTCTGCATATCTGCTCTCAATCAAGAGAAAAGAGTTTAATTTTTGTAGCTTTGTTCGCTTTGCATATGTTAAACTGATGGAACATGCACCCAGGGCATCACTTCAGAGACAGTTTGTTCCATAAATATGTGCTCCTCGCTTAAATACCAGATGTAGGTGAAGTTAGATTTAAACAAAAAAAAAACCCCAAGCAACAATGAGAAATCGAAGTGCCAGGATCGTGCGTCTGAAAAAAAAAAATGTCCTGCGTATTTTTAGGAACGTGTAGGCACTTGGCGTTTTTCAGGAGAAATACTCGGTGTCGGGGTCTGGACTGGTTCTGTCGGGACTTTGCTAAGAAAGTGGATGGTGGGAGCAAGGTAACTGCAGGGTTTGGATGCTCGGAGGGCAGCGCTGCTGCTGCGAACAAGACGGGGACATTTCTCTGCAAAGGCAGAGCCTGCCGCGTTCCCAGGCAGCATTACTCACTGTCTGAAACCGTAACTTGGGTGAAAGAGTCGGGCCCGATAATTTCTTTTGGAAAACTGGTCTGAATTTTGAAGTAAAAACATGAGAACAAAGGAAATAGTTTTTGAGTAGAGTCAGTCTGAAGTTAGCCTTTGACCATTTGATACATTCCACGCTGAAAAGGAAGTTGAAGGGGGAAAAAATTTAAAAAAAAAAAAAAAAAAAA